TTGTCATGTAATTGTTCAGTCTCTGAAAACTTAAATTACCTAAATGCTCTAAAAATAGAAAGTGTTTTAGTGTGATGCTAAAAATAATAAAGCTGGCTGACTGTGTTAGTTTTTTGTAAGATGTCCTGTAGCCAATAGGAGCTTGGCACAGTTGGGTTAGTGTTTTTTGTTGTTGTTTTTTTTCATCTAAGCTAGGCAAAACTAGTGGTTACATTAACTAACTGTAACTAGGCAATAGGAATGTATCATCAGAATTTTGTAGTAACCCAAATTGACTAGCTAAATAACTGCTAATAGTATGTTTCATTATCATAAATGTACTTTTACCTGTGTGGCCTTACCTATTGCATGTAATATGAGATGTTTATTTGTCATTTGAGAGATGCTACCATGCATTGAGGACTGTATCAGTAACAACAAACCCCAGTAGCTAAACCCATTAAGTAATGGTTAATTGAACATTACTGAAAAAATGCTGCCGCACAACCTTGCCAGCAACCATGACATAGCAACACATTTAAAAATGTTTAAAACCCTCACATAATCTATTTATCTGTAGCTAATGTATTTCAAATGGTACTATTGAACTTCCATTGAACCTTTGTCAAAAATTAACATTTTGCCACCAGTGTTGTGCACAAGTAATGCATTACAATGTTGTGTTACGTAGATACTTTTTATGGAAAGTAATGCATTACGTTACTTTTTGTCACCTGGGCAGTGCTTGCTTATTTGTAGTGTTTTTTTAATTACAAAAAACCCAAAAGTTATATTTTTGTCACCTGTAAAGGCCCTTTCACACCTAAAGTGAAATTAATAAGCCTCAGCCTGAAAGAACTCCCAATTTCTCTCAACACGGGGACAGAGGAGGTGATTTCTTGCATTACTTATTTGAAAGAGTAACTCAGATATTTGTAAATTTAAAAGTAATGTGTTACCTTACTAGTTATTTGAAAAATGTAATCTGATTACGAAACTCGCGTTACCCCCAACACTGTTTGTCACTACTGGGAAACGGCTCTTTGGCGAACCTTTATGTTGTATTTAATCATATGAAATTCAAGATGAGCATTTAATACAAAGCCTTGAATAAGTGGAGTTTGCATTTTTCCATATGAAAACAAATAAGAAAATTTAGTTTAAAGGGGTCATATGATGCTGCTAAAAAGAACATTATTTGGTGTAATGAAATGTGTTTATGCGGTTTAAGGTTAAAAAAACATTATTTTCCACATACTGTACATTAATGTTTCTTCTCTATGCCCCGCCTTTCTGAAACGCGGTCTGAAAAGCAAGGTGTGCTGTGATTGGCCAGCTATCCAATGCGTTGTGATTGGCCGAATACCTCAAGCATGTGACAGAAATGTTACGCCCCTCACCATACTGTGATGATGCCCTGTCCGGCCGGAGCGACGAGACAAAAACATGAAAACCCATTATAAACGAGGCATTCTTTGCATCCAGTGGGGACATATCTTCCCACATCGTGACGTAGACATGTGGGGCGTGTTTAAACGAGGCATTTTAGGAGGACATGGACCAGTCTTAACTTTTATAAAGAATATCTCTTTGGGTTTGAGACTTTAGTCTTTGCAACTTCAGGGATCTTATCTATTCACGAACAGCTTGTAAGACTCCAAAGAGAAAGGAAAACTTGAAATGGCATCATATGACCCCTTTAATTTTTACAACCATTTAAAGTTTAAACCAAAAATCCTGCACGCATTCAATTTCAGTGTTCTCGTACTAACAGGCTTACCACATAACCAACGATGAGCCGGTGCGTTTCTGGGACTTCATGTCTCAGATTCTAGAGGGTCTGGGCTACAGTGCTCCGCGATACCACCTGCCCTACACACTGGTCTATGGGATAGCCCTGCTGCTGTGGCTGATCGCTTTGGTACTGCGGCCTCTGATCCGGATCAAACCCACCTTCTCCCCTATGAGAGTAGCTCTGGCTGGCACCCACCACTACTACAGCTGCGCTCGGGCCAAGAAGGACATGGGTTACCAGCCGCTGGTGCCTTTACGAGAGGCAATAGTGCGCACTGTGGAGAGCTACCCACATCTACAGAAGGGAGCGTAACGCCGCAGCGAAGCTGGAGGGTGATTGACATAAATTACTGTTTGCTGAACTGCAATATGAGCTTTGGATGTATCTGTTGGATTACCAGTGTTTACTAGGCTATATTCACAATGCACTTAATCATTCCTATTCTGAATGTGCCTTTTAACCAGGATGTGACAGCATGCAGTTCAACAGTGATGATGAATTCAGATGGCAAATGTGAACATTTGTCTCTTTCTGCTTTGGTCCAAAAGAATTCAGAGTTTATGTAACAGCTATTCAGTTTTTCGTATAAATTTCAAATCAAGTTTGTGTCATGTTCCTTTTTTGGATACCTAAAATAAAATGGCATTTGCTTCCAATTTTACTGATGTAATGTTTTTGTGGGATAATTCACTGAATTAGTATTATTTACTCTCAACCCTCATGTTCAAAAACCGTAATACTTTGGTTGATCTTTGAAACATTTAATTCACTTTGATGCCATAAAAAATGATAAATATGGATTTATATGCATTACATTGACCATGACTTTTATACTTTGTGATGGGTTAAAATTTTAGTTGTGCAGATTTTCAGTGGATGGACAAAAATGACGAGAGAATATTTAAGATATCTTCAGTTGTGTCCTGAAGGTGAACAAACGTCTTATGGGTTTGGAATGACATGAGTGTGAGTAAATGACAGAATTTTCACTGTCCCTTTCAAGTGAAACAGGATATTTTATGAGGGTAAAGGACGGATTATATTGAATTTTATCCATCAGGATTTTGTCGAAATTCAAAAAAGAGGGCATTCCATAAAATAGTGGAGCCAGACCCGAATGCTAATTTGCTGCAAAATTAAAATTTTACAAAATTACAATAAAATTGCAATCAATTACTGCATTAAGTATTGGTAAGATGTTGGAAAGACCCTTAACAAAATTCTAGTTTCCGAAGAATGTAATTATAAAGAATATAGTCATAATGACGTATGATCCATCATTGATGCATTTTATGCAATGTTTCACTAATGATGAATTTTTGCAATTCCTCCAGCAGGCATTGGATGGGAGGTGGGGGTGTTGTTCAGATCGCTGAGATTCTCCACTCACAGATATGAATCTCTATCACTATGACTCAGTCGTCAAACCCGTTCCTGTCCCGTAGCAGTAGGTGTAACCCATGGTGAAACCACATCAGGCCTGTTAGCTTTCTCGCATGTTCTCAGGGGTGTGAGTGCGTCTGATGGCAGCAGAACGCTGGTCACTGGGTTAGTGAGTATCCTAGAGACTGTACACACCCCACCTGTTTTAAACGGTGTGCTTTGGATCAGTCCCACAGTCTTTATTTAGAGGCACTGACTCATCTGTTCACCTCCAGTGAACACCGAGTTATCAGTGACAAGTTTATGTAAGCAGTTAGTAGGCAATACTTTAGAAAGTCTACAGCGTGTGAGTTTTTGATTCAGTGTAAATCGATCATATCTATCATAATTCAAAGCTTTAGAAAAGCAATATAAAAATGTGTTTATTATTTATATGGGTCTATTCATTATAAAAATGCATGTTCATAAATACAATGACATGAATACACATTTTATTACACATTTCTGATTTAAAATCGGAATTTTTCATAATTAGAAATTTGCTTTTTTTATGTCAAGCTGTTAAAACTCTCTCAAAAAACAAAAATGTAAGCTCAATATTTTAAAAACATAAAGTTTTGTTTTAAAATATTCATATTTGAAAAGCCATTTTGTCCACCAAAATGATTTCCTCTGAAGTCAGTGTGGTGTAGCCAAGCTATTTTGTTGCCATGTGATGTATGTCAAGGCCAATCAGACTCTTAAGTTTCTGAAATATAATTTCAGGTCCTCATCAAATGGTACAACCCCAGAAAAAAACTTTTTAAATCGCTTTTTTTTTTTAATTGGTTTGCTACAAGGTTATTAAATCCAAACTTTTGTTAAAAATGTTTCTCAAAGACTTCTGAATCAAGAATACAAAGATTACTTTTTCAAATGTAAAATTTCGTCAAATGTATTTTTTGAAGTAGATTTTTCAGGGATTTACTTTTTTTTTGTCATTTCTGACATCCTTATTCATCATTGACTTCAAACCTGTCTGTAGTATGTGGCACAAGCTGTTATTTTTGGAGGCTTTTCTAGAACAGTCCCACAGGAACACCTTATGAGCTTGCATATTGATTATGAGCTGTCTTTGAGTCACGCAGGAGGCAGTTATCTTGATTCAACCAGTTCAGATTTTATGTGACGCAGATTTGTTTGAATTTGGGCTGTAATTCAGTAGAATTCAACAAATAAAGGTGGGAGAGTATCTCTCCTCTCATTGCAGCCAAAACATGAAGTACACACACACACAGGTGTACACACGTACACACACACACACACAGGTATACACACACAGGTACACACACACACACACAGGTATACACACACAGGTACACACACAGGTGTACACACGTACACACACACACAGGTGTACACACGTACACACACACACACAGGTGTACACGTACACACACACAGGTATACACACACAGGTACACACACAGGTGTACACACGTACACACACACACAGGTGTACACACGTACACACACACACACAGGTGTACACGTACACACACACAGGTATACACACACAGGTACACACACAGGTGTACACACGTACACACACACACAGGTGTACACACGTACACACACACACACAGGTGTACACGTACACACACACAGGTATACACACACAGGTACACACACAGGTGTACACACGTACACACACACACAGGTGTACACACGTACACACACACACACAGGTGTACACGTACACACACACAGGTATACACACACAGGTACACACACAGGTGTACACGCCTACCCGACTGGCTGAGCGGGTCTGTGCCCACACCCTTACCTGCTCGCTGGAGGAGAGAGCTGTCAGTGAACACCTCCCCTGAATGTGTGTGTGTGTGTGTGTGTGTGTTTATTGACTGAACTCACAATCAGTCAGCCGAAATCACCAGCACTGCTCAGTACATCTGCCACCATACTGCAGCTAAACGGACATTAATAAGGTAGGTCATCTGTTCCTTTTGAGAAAACTTTACAAACTGCTCGTTTCTGATGTGTTCTGAGACTATTTGGGGTTGGCAACTACTTATTGATGACTTTTTTATATCCGCTGCTTCAATCTGTAAAACCTGATATACAGCAGAGTGAAAGTGTTTTTTTGCCTTCATATCTTTGATTTGGCATTCACTCTGTCACTGTCACGATCGCTGTTCAAGCATGTTTGGTCTTGCACAAGCTGTGTTGACTCTTGAAGGTCGTTTTGTATCACTATGGTGCAACGAGGACTGTAGGAGCGATTTTGACTTCATGGACTTTACTTTAGGAAATTAATTTGCTAGTAATAAGCCTTATGTCACGTGCAGACATGAAGCTTGAATTTGGACCTTGTATATCATAGTTTCTCTTATGTTGTTGATCATTAGAATGCATATTGTTCAGGCAAACTAACGGTGGTTGATTTTAAACTCCGTTTTAAAGATAGTGCATCTTGAAATAATAATGTAGTGTTAATACTATATAATACACTGTATAGGCTAATGTTCAGGACATAACGTAAGGGACATAATGAATGATCAGGTGTTCAGATTTTGTCGTCAGATTGTGTGTGTGTTCAGTGTTACAAATCCCTACAGAGTCTTAGGTTCAAAACAACTTGATTAAATGAACAGAAATATGAATGATTTATGGGCTATGTCGTAAAGAAATGACTCATTCAAGTAATTTGACTTGTGTAACTGAAACCATGCCAGCATGCCATCAACATGACTCTTCAACTTCCCTGTTTTCTATGTTGGATGGAATAAATCTGTCAGTTTCTTGGAGAATTTCCTGAATTATTTTTTTTAGTTTGTGGGAATTTCTTCAAAGGGAAGTTGTGTAACATTTTTTGTTTGGCAGTCTCATAATGAAAAATATATATTGTGGTAGTTTAGCCTCCTAACAATTCATCACCTTTGTGAACCTACAATTTATCATCTGTGGCATGTAATTCACTGTATATTTGGTGATTATTACTTAAAAAAACAAATTCAATAAATTCATATTAATCAACTAGTTAATTAATAAACACTACCATTTCAAAAGTCTGGTGTTGGTAAGATTTTTTTTTTTAAATGATCTCCAAGGCTGCATTTGTTTGAACAACTATACAGTAAAAACAGTAATATTGTGAAATATTATTACAATTTAAAAGTTTTTCCTAAAAGTCTTCAGTGTCGATGATCTTTCAGAAATCATTCTAATATGCTGATTTGATGCTTGATCTTTATATTTTAGTGCACCTTCGTTGCATTGTCAGTATTTTCTATTTTGACAAAAATGTACCATGTAAATGAAAAAACTAAATATAATGAATACAAATGTTTACTTTCGTGTTTTTTAATGACTGACCTCTTTTTTAATCCAGGTGTCTTTTGAGGCAGTTTTTAGAACTTTTTGACTAAAGAATGTCCAAAGGTAAGTTCCAATAACCAGTGTTTCAAACAGAGTCAAACTGTCAGTGTCTGTGAATAAGTCAGAGCTATTAAATTTATGGCATTCCACTCGACCAAAACAATGATGTCCTGCGTCATAGCATCAAATCCTGTCGTGCCACATGTCACACATTGCTTAAAGGGGTCATATGATGCTGCTAAAAATAACATTATTTTGTGTATTTGGTGTAATGAAATGTGTTTATGCGTATGACCCCTTTAACACACTCAACTTTCAGTTACACTTGTTTTCTTTAAATTCTAAATACTCATCACATTGTCTCTTACAACTGTTACCACTGATGCAATCAACTTTTGGCTCAATGCAGTGATATCAAGATATGTTTTTATGTTTGTGTATGATAAGCTCTGGACTGTCTTGATTTCAGAGGCGGACAGACAGTCGGTTTTGCGGACCGCAAAGGTCCGCACCGCTCTGAAAGGAGACAACAGCTGGATACAGAGACGAGCGCTAGAAGATCTTGAGAATGAGGAGGAGGAGAAACCATGGTGAGAAATAAATATGATAACAAATCTTAAAGTTCAAAGTTCACAATAGTTTGTCTAACACGTTCTCTTGTAGGATCGCTGAAGTGCGAGCAAACCGCTCAAATGGTGAGCTTGAAGAAACAAGTTCTGTTTCCTCACCCACGGCCAATGCGCCCCAGCCCAGATCTGACACAGACAAGTATGCATTATTACTCTCCATGAGGTCTACTTTTACATTTATTCATTTAGCAGGCCAAAGTGACCTACAAATGTGGAAAATGGCAGTAGAGCATGGTAAAGAGTCATTTGTGTACTGTGAAGTGTTCTTTTGGGTTCATTGAAGACCTAACACACCACTGCATTTTGACTCATTTTCAGAGATTCGAGGTAGAAGGGCAATGTCGTAGTCCAGTGTAGAAATGACAAAAGACCAGATAAGGAGACGTGCAGCATTACAAAAACAAAACAACAGCCACATGACTGGCTGTCCTTGGTGATCTGAAGTTTAGATGGTGGTCAAACACTATCCCCAACTTTCTGGCAGACCTGGATGGTGTTCTCGTTTGTGAACCTTGCTGAATGGTGAATGGTAAATTGCTGGACTGGCTTTAGTGTAGAAACCTACCGTCCACTGTCATCAACCTAGAATCTGCTAATGTTGGTGATGATTCTGGGCTCGCTGAGGATGCTGTGAGGAAAGATCACACAAGTTGCTGGATTCAGCCTTGTGCTTCTATTTCTGGACAACCGTGAACATCATTCATGAGTATCAATAAAAATAACTCTCCAGTTGATCTGCCTCATCCCGTATAAACTCCTATTTCTATCGCTTAGTTAGAGCTGACTATGACGCTTATATACGTGAGATTTTAACCAATGATTCATCGGCGCTCCGCAAGGACCGCCTCCCTCATTTCCATGTTACACAAGGAAAAGTAAAAAGAAATAAACTAATAAGTAAATAAATACACATGGGAATAACTCAATATAAAAATAAGCACATAAATATAAAAATGAATGAATGCATAAAAATAAACGAAAGAATAAGTAAATAAAAATTACAAATAATAAAAATAAATGTAAAAATAAATACAGAAAAACAATCAAATAAATTCAGGATTGAATTTTATTGCACATGAATTATATTTGTTTTATCAAGTCATTTTTTCCTTTATTTTCCTATTATTACATGTATTTATTTATTTATCTATTATTTCTGAAGGTTTGGTCCTCCATAAGAATGCACATGCTAGTTTGCAGTCGGCTGTAGTCTGTGTGGTGTTTTAAAGCGGAGCTTTAGTAGACAACACCGTCAGTTTTTGTCACCACTAGATCCCTAAAGTCGGCTTGGTGTGTCCCGTCCTTACCAGACAAACCAAGGTCTGTGCAGCCACTGTAAGACTGTCAGAGCTGGATAGTAACTGATTACATGTAATCTGGATTAGCTACGTAATCATAATCCAAAAATTAAGTACTTGTAATTAGGTTAAATTACATTTTAAAATACTCGTAATCAGACTACAGCTACTGTTTACATATTAACACAATAGCAATAAATTATTCATAATTTATGGATCCCAATTCTTCTTTTTATCTTTTAAATGTTCCTTTCTAAAACAGTCTACCGCTTCTATACCCTCAGAAAGTCTTCCAGTTTTGTGGGCATTCACACAAAGACCAGTCATTAGTCAGGTGGCCACACAGCGTTTGACAACTGGATTTACAAAAATCATTTTAGGTTTAAGAAGTGTTTCAACATCGCGTCAACTGCTGATGAACACATTAATTTTTATTTGAATTATCACTCAGTAGGTGTTATTTAACCATGTATTATTATGTATTTGGAAGGCTTTTGTCTTTTAAATGCATTAAAACTTACAAATTCACGTTATTTCTTATTTACATGTCAGAACCTCTTTCACCTAATAAATGTACTTGAAGTACCCCTGAGATTTTAAAATAAAAATGTTAATAATGTCACATTTGCATGTTCACGGCTCTCTGATGTTGGTTAATGGTCACATGACATCCAGGTAAACAAATAACATATTTCATTTTTTTTTAGCAAGTGTTTTATTTTGATTGATGTTATTTTAAAAGGATTTATTTAAATTTTTATGATTTAATTAGCTTTTCATTAAACTCATTAATCCCCTGCAGTACCCCAGTTTGGAAAACCTTGACATAATGTAATGTTTAATGCACTTCATGTTGTTAATTACAACGAATGGAATATATTTTCTTACTCTTTGAATTTTTATATCAATACGGCATAAGATTATCTTATTTGAATCAATGTGATAAACAAAAGTAATCTAAAAGTAGTCTGATTATATTACCTGAAATGTGTAATGTAATGTAATAAATACAATTTTTGTAAACAGTGATGGAGTACACTTTGTAAGTATTTGTAAGTGGCAGGAAAATTGATGTTTCTGGATGATAGGTCACATCAATGATGTGTATTTCAAAAAGTGGAAGGGACCAATAACCAAACCTTGAGGTACACCAGCAGTTGACACCAACACACCGTGAAGAATCTGTCTGTAAAGTAAAACTCAAACCAGTGGAGTGCAGTTTTGTGAACAATGTGGTGGACAGGAGGATCTGGTGAATTACTGTGTTGAAGGCTAGAGAATGGTACAGCAGAATGAGAGGATGAATGATTGAGAGGACATTTTCGCCAACTGCTGGGCTTTGTTGACTGATAGCAAGGGTTCCATTGAATGTCTGCTTTTGAAGCTCGACTGATTGTTGTCTAGCTGGTTGTTCTATGAGAGGTGAAAAAAAGTGTTTTTGCAATGGACATGAGGAAGGAAACTGATCTGAAATATTCTGTTATTATAAGATTATGTGCTTAAGCAGTGGAGATTCCTAATACTGTAGGAGTGACAGAAGAAGTGTAGGAGATATGGCTTGTAGAAAATAGGAGGGAAAATGGTCAATAAATATGTAATATATAGGCTACACTCCTAAAAATAAAGTTCCAAAAGGGATTTTCACAGTGATGCCATAGAAGAACCATTTTGATTCCCCAAATTTTAATAAACTAAAGAACCCTTTCCTCCTAAAAGAAACTTTTGCGCAGTGTTTCTATGGATGTTAAAGATTATTCACTGAATCATCAATGCCAATAAAGACCTTTATTTTTAAGAGTGTCAATGAGTTCTGAAAACCCTATAATGTGTCTTTTTACATATTAAAATGACAGTATTTCATTTTCAAATTCACAGACCAAAAACACCTGCACCTGGATACTTAATCAGGTAATGAGAATGCTGGGTCAATCAAAAGTGATCTTTATCAACACTGCCTTTGCATTACTTTCCTTCATATGTGATAATTTACTTTTGCAGGGGGGTATTCACAAAAACTGATTCCAAGCCAACATCAGCTTCATCCACCAATGGATATGTGTAAGAAGATTCTGACGAATCAGAAACCTTACTAGTTCTATAAACATTAGAACATCATGAAATGAATACCATTAAATTAATATAGAGGCATTTTACACTTAAACTACATTTCTAATGTATGATTTGTAATTGTTAATAAAAGATAAATCAGTTTTAATAGTACTAACTATTTGTCTCTCCTCTCTTAGTGGAATAAATAGCTTCAACAAAAAGCCATCTGAGAGTTACAAGAAAATGTAAGTTAGCCGAAAACTTTATTCTAGCATGTAGGTCACGCACATAAAGCATTTGAGCTCATTATAGCACATCTTAATTATGTTTATTTGCATTCATATTCTTCTCCCAGAGCCCCCCACACAATTCGGTCCAGCAGTGAAAAGACAGTGCAGTCTGAACCAACTCTGAGTCCGGACGAAATGGAAAAGAGGTGAGAGACCACACTTCACAGACTGATTTATCCAAGGTGACTTCATGTTCCTCTTCATAAAATGACCTTTCCTTTGCATGTGTGTGCGTGTAGGACAGAGGCAGCCAGCATTGTACTGAAGGGATCAGCAGCAAATCGCCGTTCATACGTAATGTCAGCTGCAAAGAAATACGAGTAAGTGTTTTGTTGAAAATATAACTTTTGAAGTTTCTGAAAAACAGTTGTAGTTTAGAAATGTACCACTGTAATACAATGGTACTGCCATACACATTAGTTAATAATACGTACCTTTAAGATACTAATATAAATAAGGTAAAAAGGTGTATCTCTCCATTTTCATTTTCTGAGTGTATCGCCACTGTATCAGTCATCAAAGCTTGGTAATCAATGCAGGTCACAGACGCATAGATGTACCTTTAATTTCACCAAGCTGATAGCTCATCCAAAAAAAACCCTTATAGATTTTCAAGTCATTTCAACTTTGAATGTGATGTGACAGAGGAGGCAGTGCCTTTTCCCCATTCATTCTCAATTACTCTTCCTCTGTACCATTATTTGGTGAAAATATTAAGATGAATGCATATCCCATTCCTCTCTGCACAATGTTCACATCTAATATTTCCAGATCTACAGAGAAGCCTGACAGCTCTGCTGATATGAGCACTTCTTCCTTTGTTGCCAAAAAGTACCACCACACACTGATAAAATGAAATAGGGTGAAAACAGGTGAAGTGGCACAGTTGATTCAGCTTCATTATGTGCATCTGCTTCCATTAAAAAAAACAGCAAACGTTCAAGTGTCCCACTTTACCTGTGTAACCCCTATTTGTTAGCTCCATTATCCTCATCCTCTTTTGCATATGTATGTGGTTTGTAGGGTAGTTATCAGTGATGATGATGACACTACAGCATCTGTTAAGTCTGTGCCTGTGCAAAGGTAAACTACAACATCTGTCAATTATACACCTTCAAGCTCATATTCTTGTTTGACCCTGTTTCAATTGTAATTTTATTGCATTTACAGTGTTAAATCAAACCCTGAACCATTGGTGAAGGAGGTCAAGCCAGCAGCACCTGAAACTAAATCTGCACCTAAGCCTACACCTGAGACTAAACCTACATCTGAAACAAAAACGACAATTGAACCTAAACCCACAATAGACTCTAAACCAGCACCTGAAACTAAGCCAGTGACTGAAACTAAACCTACAACACAAACTAAAATATCAACCGAATCTAATGCCACATCAGAATCTAAACCACCGCTAGAAAACGCAACACAGCCTAAAACAGCATCTGAGCCTAAACCAGCTTCACAACCTAAACCTACACCTGAAACTACAACAACAACTGAACCTAAACCAGTGGCTGAAACTAAACCTACAGCACAAACTAAAACAGTAACAGAACCTAAACCCACATCAGAACCTAAACCAGTTGAAACTAAACCTACAGCACAAACTAAAACAGTAACAGAACCTAAACCCACACCAGAGCCTAAACCAGTTGAAACTAAACCCGCAACAACTGAACCTAAACCAGCAATTGAAACTAAAACAGCAACTGAAACTAAACCAGTTGAAACTAAAACTTTCACACAAACTCTAACAGCATCCGACCCTAAACCCACATCAGAGCCTGAACCAGTTGAAACTAAACCTACAACAACTGAAACTAAAACAGTTGAAACTAAAACTTTCACACATACTATAACAGCAACCGACCCTAAACCCACATCAGAACCTAAACCAGTTGAAACTAAACCTACAACAACAACTGAACCTAAACCAGCAACTGAAACTAAAACAGTTGAAACTAAAACTTTCACACATACTATAACAGCAACCGACCCTAAACCCACATCAGAACCTAAACCAGTTGAAACTAAACCTACAACAACAACTGAACCTAAACCAGCAACTGAAACTAAAACAGTTGAAACTAAAACTTTCACACATACTATAACAGCAACCGACCCTAAACCCACATCAGAACCTAAACCAGTTGAAACTAAACCTACAACAACAACTGAACCTAAACCAGCAACTGAAACTAAAACAGAAACTAAACCTACCACACAAACTACAACAGCAACTGATCCTAAACCCACACCAGAGCCTAAACCAGTTGAAACTAAACCAACAACAACTGAACCTAAACCAGCAACTGAAACTAAACCAGTTGAAACTAAAACTTTCACACAAACTATAACAGCAACTGATCCTAAACCCACACCAGAGCCTAAACCAGTTGAAACGAAAACAGCAACTGAAACTAAACCAGTTGAAACTAAAACTTTCACACAAACTATAACAGCAACTGATCCTAAACCCACACCAGAGCCTAAACCAGTTGAAACGAAAACAGCAACTGAAACTAAACCAGTTGAAACTAAAACTTTCACACAAACTGTAACAGCAACTGATCCTAAACCCACACCAGAGCCTAAACCAGTTGAAACTAAAACTTTCACACAAACTGTAACAGCAACTGATCCTAAACCCACATCAGAACCTAAACCAGTTGAAACTAAAACAGAACCTGAAGCTAAATCTGCAACTCAGCCCAAACCAGCACCTGAATCCAAGCCTGAACCAGTTCCAAAGAAAAGGTTTGCTCTATTAATGTTCATATTTAAAAGAAATGTGAGTAATTGCATGTCTGATGTTGATTAAATAGCCTTTTTACACTTTGTGTCTGTAGTACTCTTTAGCACTACATTATACTGATACATTTTCTTAATGTTTTTATCCTTTTCAGCCTGTCTGACACCCTGATATCCTTCAGCACAGAGCCTGCCAGGTACAAGATGATCCGGTTCATGCATAATAGCATCCATCATATAAAGATTATGTTCATTAATCTCAGTGCCATTCATGTGTAAAGGGGTTTCATACAGTATTAATGAGTTTAGAGTGAGAACGCTGGTCTTGTCACTGTTTATCTGACCTCACTGTCATGTGGATTTATTGCATTTATTGCCATGTGATAATTCAATGCAGTCCCAAACAAACTTGTCAGATTCATACAGCCACATACATGACATAAACTATATGCATACACTAACAATTGAAATTGAAATACCAATTTAGTCATGTACCTTTAATGCAAACCAGTGAATGAACATAATCAGTGAAAATATTGGCTTCTGCTTTAGTTTATTTATCCTATAAACATATATATGTTTTTTGATGGTTCTCAGTTTGTTTTGCTAAGGAAAGGTGTATTTAACGGGATAGTTCAACAGAAAATGACAATTCAGTTATTACTTACTCACCTTGGTGTTATTTTAATGCCGTGTGACCTCCTTTCCTTTTCTTTTTTCGGAGCACAGTGACCAAACTTACTGTGACAGGATTGAACCCACCTAATCAAATATTAGGTGGATGACTATTAAGTAGAAATAAGTCTGCTGATTTGACTGAGTTTAAAGGGTTAGTTCAACCAAAAATGAAAATTCTGTCATTAATTACTCACCCTCATGTCGTTTCAAACCCGTAAGAACTCCATTCGTCTTTGGAACACAAATTAAGATATTTTTGATGAATTCTGAGAGCTCTCTGACCCTCCCATAGACAGCAATGTAATTACCACGATCAAGGTCCAGAGACGTAGCAAGGAGATCGGTAAAATAATCCATGTGACATCAGGTCAGCTGCACACAGGTGTCAGCTGCGTCATGCGGATATGTTTTCTACATTGTTTACGCTTTGATTTGAATGAAAACAGCGTATCCGCATGGCGCAGCGGACACAGAACAACATACGTTGTTTACGTCCAGCTGGTACTCTCCAAAATAGCACCAGGGTGACAGGAGGAGACGAATTGTTGAATAAAGTCGTTATTTTTGTTTTCTTTGCGTACAAAAAGTATTCTCGTAGCTTCGTAAAATTAGGGTCGAAGCCCTAATGTCACATGGATTATTTTACCGATCTCCTTGCTACGTTTCTGGACCTTGATCGTGGTAATTACATTGCTGTCTATGGGAGGGTCAGAGAGCTCTCAGAATTCATCAAAAATATCTTAATTTGTGTTCCGAAGATGAACGGAGGTCTTACGGGTTTGAAATGGCATGAGGGTGAGTAATTAATGACAGAATTTTCATTTTTGGGCGAACTAACCCTTTAAAGAACATTTTAAAACATGCTGTTTCATAACAGACCACTAGAGGACAGGAGAGCTCCATCTGAGACAATTTATTTTAAAATGAAGATTTTGATTCTAATCCATTTGCTACATTATTACTGTATTTCTTTGTCCTGCAGTTCTGGCCAAGCGGATCTGGGAGTAGATCTTCTCAGTCAGGATCTGCTCACAGACAGCAGGTGAGAGAGGCTGTATGCACATATGATCATTATTTCAATTATTTTAGATCCCCGGAGGAGAGTAATATGCAAAACTGAGGTCATTTTGTACAACTGATGGCTCATATGCGTGTACCAAAATGACTTGAACCATGATTCTGAGGACAAACTTATTTAAAACTGATATAAAAGTTGTTTCCCCTAATCATTTTTTGCCCTTTTTTAACTATATACAGGTGCATCTCAATAAATGAGAATGTCGTGGAAAAGTTCATTTATTTCAGTAATTCAACTCAAATTGTGAAACTCGTGTATTAAATAAATTCAGTGCACACAGACTGTTTAAGTCTTTGGTTCTTTTAATTGTGATGATTTTGGCTCAGATTTAACAAAAACCCACCAATTCACTATCTCAACAAATTAGAATATGGTGACATGCCAATCAGCTAATCAACTACTTTTCCACGACATTCTAATTTATTGAGATGCACCTGTAGTTCACTTTGAGCACAAGGCTTGTAATGCCAAATTAAACTGTAAAACTGTTAAATCCTATTATCTTACTAAAGGCTTAATTATACAGTATAGTACACTATGTTCATTTAGCCTGAGATGGCACAATGCGGTTTATTAACACTTAACAACACATTATTTACACGAATAAAATGTTTACAGTCTTACACAAATGCAACTGTAAAAATGTTACTAAAAACCTATAGAATTGGCTGTTAAATGATCTGGATGTTTCCCCTCTAGTTCTCTGCCTCAGACGAAGAAGACACATAAAACTCTGGACCTGCTCGCAGATGATCTCATTCCCTTCAGTACTTCTACCACCAGGTGAGTTTTTCCCCTCATCTTGTTTTTTCTTAGTTTTGAACAATATACATGCAGTGGCTTAGACAGATTAGCGATAATTTAAACATGTTTAATAATGTAAAAATAACACATAAAAGAAGCTCAGAAAACCATGAAGACTTCACTTAGGTTTTGAAGTGTAACTAGTCGTTTCATATTCCCGTCTCAGAACCAGCGCTGACTGTACTTCTAGCTGGAGAACCCTTTCTTTCTTTCTTTCTTTCTTTCTTTCTCAAAATATCAAGATTTTAGTTGAAATTTTAACATACATTTACAAGTTATATCCTTTATGTGCAGTAAAGGTTTAATCTACTTCTTTTTCATTTCAAAAACAGTGAAAAACAGTGCTGTGCTATAAATCTTTTTTAACAGTTGCATAACAATTCCACTCGCATATGGCAGCGCATGCTTCTAAGACTAGTGTGATTTTTGTTCCAGCTTAGATGATGAATTTGATCCAATAGCAACATCGAGTGAGCCCACAAAGAGGTGATGATTCTGACTGAACTTCTCAGTGTTTAACAATCATATGTGAACACATGGCAGGCAACACCTCACTCTCTGTCTGCTTGTGTCTTTCACAGCCCTCACTGGTACGGTCCTCCTAAACCGGACTCAAGGTAAATGTGCAGATTCATTTATCAGGCTCTATTTGCTCAAATTGATCATCATGATACAGTTTGTACATTTACATTTTCAGGTCCACGGATACATTCAATCATTTTCAGCATCCTGTGGATTTGGTTGCTGAGTGAGTATATACATGAATTTACATGGACCTGACTATATGATGATTTAATTTAATGTAATATTCAATTTACATTTTCATAATTTTGTAACATAATAATAAAGAAATTATAATGTAAACATAATATACTATTGTATTTTTACACAGTGCATTTGACTAAATAGTAATATTAATCCAGATATCTTGTTTTTAATTGATAGTATGCCACCAGATGTTCTGGTTTACTTGGCTGAAGATGTCATTCCAGTTGATCCTAAACGGTAATTGAATACTGCATAGCTGTTTGTTTCTCCAAAAGCTGGTTTTTATTAGCACAGCTCATTTCTTGAGCCAACACCTGGACCTGTCTGTGTTGATTCATATTGTTTGCACAGAGATCTTTGCTCTGAAAAGTCAATAGCATAATGGGTTAAAGTCCCGGAGAAGGAAGTAGCGAGGTAGTTTGAGTCAAACCCAACCCTAAAACTGCACCTGAGCTGCAGATAAACTCTCACACAGTATCAACCGCACTTTCACACGTGTGCACACGCTCTCTGGAAATACAACTAGCCTTCATCTCACCGGAGCCCTTTTAAAAGCAACATCTGTTTGTTTTCAGTGACTGGGAGACAAAAATGGAAAGGTAAGGGCTGCTGTTCTGTGAGTGAAGTTCATTTCATATACAAAGGCTCAAAAATTCAAGCAAACTCCACTATTCCTACTTGAGATTATGAGATACTGAAGATTTCAGTGTGCCGTAATTGTCAACACTTCTTGTTGAAAAAAAATTCTTATTAACAGAAACTGGGAGTGTTGATATATGAAATGTAGTAAACGTGATTCATTTTGTGATTCTATAAGATTCTGATTCTTATGTTTCTAAATAAAAATATTAGTTATTGTGTGGGAAAAAATGTAATTATTTTTTAATATATATAAAAAAAAAATTGGACCCAAATTTGAACCAAAATTTTAGAACAAACCAAAAAGATATTTATATATTTTATTGCACATATATAGTATACATATGAACTATGTTTATAAAGATATTACACAATGATTTAATATTTGATTAAAATAGTAAATATTGAGTAGTGATTAATGTTTAATATTAACTTCCAGACTTATTGCGCTATTTGTAGAAATCCGACTTCCCAAACTTATACAAACTATATATATATATATATATTAGTGCTGTCAAACGATTAATCACATCCAAAATAAGTCTTTGTTTACATAATATATGTGTGTGTACTGTGTATATTTATTATGTATATATAAATACAAACACATGCATGTATATATTTAAGAAAAATATGTAATGTTTATATATTAAATATATTTAGATATAATATAAATTAAATTATTATAAATATATACATGTAAATATTTGTGTGCTTTTATATATACATAATAAATATACACAGTATGCACACATATATTATGCAAACAAAAACTATTATTTTGGATGCGATTAATCGCGATTAATCGTTTGATAGCACTAATATATATATATATATATATATAGTCCTGATGTTCCTTAATAAAATAAATAATAAATATTTATTTTTATTTAAATAAAAATAAATAAAGTCTTTCTTGTTGATGTTTAAAAAAAAAGAAGATATTTTTAAAACAGGGTTAACTGTCCGTTCTGGCCAAACCATCATGTAATACTCATGTATTGGTCTCAAGGGCTAAAGTAGCCTTTCCGGTTTAGCATCTGATTTCAGAATTCAGAAGCAGAGCGCTGGAGCAAAAGATATAGGGCAGATTTTCTAGGACAACAGCTAATTAAGTATAGCCCTGCTTTAGGTCTTGGGTTACTCATTGTTTCTTAACAGATCTTGCTGAAGCAAAGACAAATACTTAAAATGCTGCATGTCTCTATATTTTCAACATTTACTTGTGTCCACCACAGCCTAACATAATTGTATATGATTAACATAAAAGTACAGCAGAACCTTCTAAATCAGAGGTCACATGAGACAAAATTTCTAACATAATGACTATTTTTGTCTTGTAGTTACAAAACCAGCATCAAAACGGTGGAGAGTTCTGTCCAGGAGAAGTTACCAGAATCTGACTCCAAGAAGTATGTGGGAAGATGTTCTTCCAATGAAAGCCTTTAGCTTAACCTGATGATTTAACCGGAAAGTGTTGTTCTGTTGAAAGCCTGATCTCTTTTGTTTTCTGTTTTTAGGGGCTTCGTCTATGTTAAGGAATATGTGGATAACTCACGTCTTGATGGCAGGTAACCTGGAGGCATTATATTCTTAGAACAATTCTCTGCCGTTATAGTCATTTTGCCAGAATTTGCTCAGTAAGATCAGCGCTTCTCAATTGACTCCGCGAAGACTCTGCTTACATACGATACAAAAGTAGTACAATTATTCCAAAAATTCAGCATTGAAATGAATTAACATGACCGTGAACTGCATAGACTCTCTTAATACGTGAAGCGGCGGACTCTCAAGGGACAACAATGCACCAAATAAACCTTGACTGTGTGATGAGGATCTGAAGGACCTTGTAACTGACATAAAATAACTGCAGCAGTGCAGAACATGCTTGTGCGCTCATAGAATCGTCACCATAGAATAGTAATCTGTGGATCAATACAATATCTTCAACCACAAAAATGTCTCCTTTTTTAAATTTTTTTTTATAGCAGCTCTGACTATGTGTCATCAACAACCTCTAACTACAACTACAGCAGCCCCAGCTACTACTCCAGGTAACATGTATATATATATATATATCTCACATAACATATGAAAGCAGCCCCAGAAACAAGGACACTTATCAGGATTCATTCTGTATTTATAAATGTACACGAATGCACATGCACACTTTCTGGGGCAGATGTTGATATCATGTATGATTATATAGTCTGTTCTAAGGATGAGAAAGTATCATTTACTGCACAAGCAGTGATGAGTGTCAGCAAATGGCAAGTTTCTTTTGTAGTTTGTCACATGAACCTCATTTGGTCTTTTTAGAAGAGAGACGACTCCCTGTACATACTGTGGAGAAATGGTGGGAAATGACGCCAAAATCACCATTGAGCACCTGAACATATCCTGTCACCCATCCTGCTTTAAGGTACGCAACAATATCCGCTCACACAAAGGACTCTTTTTCTCTAATTTGTATGGCACAATGTGCTGGATGCATTTTAGCTTGTTTGTGAAATGCTACCCTGCTGTACTTAATGATAAATGACTACATGCTTTAATGAAAATATGTATTGAATTTCTTTTGCCTCCCACCCCAGTGTGGTATTTGCAGTAAACCAATGGGAGATTTACTCTACAACATGTTTCTCCACCGTGGGACGGTCCATTGTGAGAGCTGCTATTCCAATGTGCTGTAAGGAGATCTGCTTACACCGCCTGAAATATCCCTCAACAGTATGGCCAACTTGAATGAATAGGAATTAGACTCGTTACTGACACGAAACACATTCCTCTTTATTTTGAATATGTGCATAAAAAGGTTTTCTTGGGCCAGGAATGCTTGTTGCAGGGCATCTACGTTTTTTTTTTTAGATTCTGCCGCGTTAAATGTTTAGTCAAGATGATAAGAATTTATATCTGTGTTTTATTTAATCATCGGAAACCATTTTAAAGAAATGATTTTACTGTTTCAGTAGCATTGTTCTGGAAATATGTATCCTGCATATTCACAATTAAAGACAAATTCTCATCAATAAAGTCGGTCTCCTTTTATTGTTTTGTTACAAGAATGTGCAATAAAAAATATATAAATATATAACATAAGAAATACTGAGGTACACAGACATTCAAGACCTAAACAGGTCCCAGGAGTCCGTTCACACCAAGAACGATAACGATAAAGATAACGATAAAGATATAGTTCTAAAAATCGTTCTCAATATTAAAGAATAGCATAGTTCACACCACAACTATAACGATAACGATACATAGGAACGATATCGTTGTGATCACTTTCAAAACCAGCTGATGAACGATAAAACACTGACAGCCAATCAGAATCCATCCTGCTGTAACGAGCTCAAGAATTTAAGGCAGACGCACTGTGTGCTTAGAATAAACAGACTGTGTCTCATTTAGAAGGCCCTTCGGAGGTCGCATTCGAAGGCTGCATACGTCATCGAGGCTGTCTCATTTCAGAAAAGCAAGTAGGACACTTCGAATGAGACCTTCTTTCACAGGAATTCGGAGGATGCATGAGGTGTATCCTTCGCTGCTACAGATAACCCATAATTCTTTGCGTCGCCGTAAACAACTGTTGTTATGGCGTTATTTTAATGACAAATGTCGAGAGCGCATTATTGTGGCGCGAAAGCACATTAATATAATGTGCGAGTGCAAATCTCCCCACTCGCACGCGGATTTCCTTTGCTCTCGCACAAAACTTGACTTAAAGCGCTTAAAACGTGTCTCTCCTCTCACTCAAACTGTCCTGTGCACTCGCAAATCTCTCTGTGCTCATGCGCTAGATATGAATTCTTTTCACACCTGAATTAAACGTTGTCAGAAGTTATCATTGTGCACTTTTAAAAGTATCTCAAAGCAGATTTGTTCACTAAAGGCCTTTCCTTGTTTTTTTATGGTTATATTTTTGTTTGAACATAAACTGGTTATAAGCACTTTGTTTTACTACTTTATCTCTTTTATGTTTGTTTGTATTTTCTTTTCTGTGAATGCACATATACATCTCTCTGTAAAATACTTTGTAAACACTTTTAAAAGGCGCTATATAAATAAAGCTTTAAGCAATCAGACCTCCACAAATGACCGATGAAAATACTATGTGAAAACTAATTGGCTGAGAGGGAACTGAATCTGGAATTCTTTTGACAATCAAAGATGGATCTTTAATTTATTTCCAGTTTAATAATATTTAGCAATGTTAATTAAATGTGGCATATATTAGAAATGGCTAGGAATTGGGTGCTTGGATGATTTGTACATATAAATAACCTCTGTCCAACTGGTTGGTCTCTGAGCAATTTATCTAAAAACAACATGTTAAGACTTCATATACATGATCAATATTATGTCATAATATGTCAGATACCTCAACTGAAGTTAAAATCATTGCAATAAATTCTCAGTTGGTATGATGGCAATAGTAACAATTCAACATCAAATGCAAAAATAGACGTAACAGTGTTGGGGAAAGTTACTTTTAAAAGTAATGCATTACAATATTGCATTACTCCATAAAAAAGTAAATAATTACGTTACTTTTTATGGAAAGTAATGCGTTACATTACTTTTGCGTTACTTTTTAAATCTGGAAAGGGCTTGCTTGTTTGTTTTTAAAATAAAAAAGTTATTTTACATACATTAATTATTGCAGGTTTGCGTCATATTCTGAGTTGCATTATTTTTATTAATTTTGAGGAATACTGAATCTGTTTTTTTTGTGAGTGAGGTGAATTAATGCATATTCATATTTATTTCAGATCTTCTGATTTCTCTCAACATGGGGACAGGAGAGCTGTCAATCAATAAATTGAAAAAAAACTACTACGACTTAGTAGTATTAAATTATAAAGAAATTTCAGATCCATCTTTGAAATCTGATAGGTTGATAACATTTGACAACGTTGAATTCAGGTGCGAAAATAATTAATATCTAGAGATTTGCGAGTGCACAGGACAGTTTGAGTGAGAGGAGACCATAGACTGTATAAAAACAGGGACAGACACGTTTTAAGTGCGAGTACACTCTGGGCGAGAGCGTCGGGTTTTGTGCAGAGCAAAGGAAATCCGCGTGCGAGCGGGGAGATTCGCGCTCGCGCATTATATTAACGTGCTTTCGCGCCACAATAATGCGCTCTCGACATTTGTCATTAAAATAACGCCATAGTTGTTCATTTGAAAAATGCCGGCGCCGGCAGATATCACACACAAGCGCAGATGTGGTGTTTACAACTTACCTTAAATCGCCTTGGTAAAAACGGATAAACTTTGCTTTTAATATCCTCGTCCTTTTTTCTCTCTAACAGATGTCTGCTGTACGTACGCTGCAGCTCCTCAAACATTGAACAAAATAAAACAAAAGCATTTTTTTTTTCCAAATTACTTTCCAAATTTAGAAATCATTTTCCTTCATTTAAGTAGTGTGAGAGCGCAACGATGCTCTACATTTGTTGTTGGCATAGCAACGTGGTACTTCCTGTTTCCTTTTCCGCCGGTCCTACGAAGGCCGTCTCGTTTGTTGAGGACACTTCATATATGCATCCTACAGAGGATGCGACCTCCGGAGGGCGCAGCCTTCTAAATGAGACACAGCTGATATCGTTATCTTTATAGGTGTCAACAGGGCTTTATAGGAGAATCTCATGAACCACTCAAGAACAGGTCCAGCTCACTCAAAAATCGTGTTACATTTTGCTTACAGAAGAATCACACATATTCACTATACTATATGCAAAAATGAACTTTCAACTGTGACACTTCGTTCTTCGTCACAAACTTCGTTCCAACGTCCAATCAGTTTGAAAAAATGCTAAATTTTAACTACTAAAAATGGAAATTGCTGTATGTTCAATAATAAGCATCACCATTGAGAATAAGTCAAATCATCCAGACACATAATCAACATAGTTTTGATGTATAATTTGTTTAATTATCATGAAAATAACATTACTATCCAAAATCTTTATGGTCCAAAAGAGGGGGCTGCTTTACTTTACAAAAATCAGAAGGAAAAAATACTGCATAGTGACATTTGACCTTGACGTGTTTTCATGAGAGTCACTCTTCAAGACCATCATGCAAAGAAACTTTGTCCTCCATAACTGCAGTGATATCCGTCCATGATATCTCCTGTGATGGTGCAAGCAAGCCTGAGTGATTGTGAGCTGTGAACGTTCAACATCCGCCGAAGCCCCCAGAATAACATGCAGCTCAAGAACATTCATTATGAATGTATAATACTGAAAGGGAATATTTAAATATAATGAGATTATTGTTATTAGACTAGAAATGTCAAAAATGTAACATTTCAAGAACGGCTCATCAGCCTTGGGTGGATTGTAAAATTGTTTTGAGCTGTCAGAGGACGTTTTGACCTGTGACGTCCCCTCGGGTGGATGGCGAGTCCTGAGATCATCTCATCGGCCTCTGGCTCTCCTCACAGCGATGCTCTGTATATGCTGCCACAATAAGGACGGATCTGACACATTGTGTCTGACGAGCGACTCCAAACCCTCAGCTTGATCCAGACTCTGCCAGTAGTCCTGCGGCCACATCTGGAGCCAGCTGAGAATAAACGCACATCACAGTTTCACTCTACTCCGCGTCTTGCTTTAAAACAACATTCACAACACATTTAAAGGGCTCATGAACTGAGAAATCTAATTTCCCTTGATCTTTTGACATATAACAGGTCAATGTACTATAAAAACATCCTGTAAGCTTAGATCAAAAACAGCTTTTATTGAAACCAAGCTAAAAAAGTGTCACATTATGACATCACAGTGCGACGAAAGACCGCCTCTGCAGAATAAAATCAATGCCTACTTCTACATCACTGCCTCTTTAGCCCCGCCCACTGGTTAATGCATGTAGTAGGAGGAGAGATGCAAAGACAGGATTACTCCAACAAAACCTTAGAGATCCTCCGAGGATTACAAGACACTGTAGTTGCGTCACGTTGCGAATCCATTTCTCTTTCATGTTTCATGTTTCATGTCATCTCTTTCATGTTTACTGTCGGGGATTTGTTGTGTCGCTCCGCACCACACCCAGTGCAGACAGAATCACTGATTATAATCACTGTTGTGCTGCTTGCATCGAGTGTAGACACAGGGTAACATTAGGAATGAGCTCCAGATCGCGTCAATGTTTGTTTGCTTGCTTTACTTTACTGCAGATTCATTTTTAAACAAGACTGTTTGACGCAGGCTTTTCAGAGAGACTGAAAGTAAAAGATTATGCGGAGTCTGACTATATTGCATCCAACAACATTTTGTGCGTGTTTTTACCACTATTGCATTGGCTGTTCCTGATCGTTTGATTTATACGGAGTATTTATCAATTTTGAACCCAAATGACCCATGTTGTATTCTTAAAAACATCACAGCAGCATCCATTTATTATTTTAATTTGCAAAACTTAGCCAATCATAGAATGCACTAAAAACAGACTGTTCTGCAGAGAGGGTCAAAAACAGGATAGAAAATAGCCCACATCATCTGAAATAGTATGTTTTTTGATGTTAAAGTCTTGCTAACATTATAAGTGGACTTCAGAGAACATTGTAAAAAAAAAAAAATGCTGTTCATGACCCCTTAAAAAGTGATGCAGTTTAGAGTGAAATGCACATACTGTATATTAGCAAAAAAGTGACAAATGAAAGCTGTTTACCCATCATTTGGGTCAATACTTTCCACAGGTCCGTATCCAGGACTGGGCAGCGGGCAGCCCATGTGTGAGCTGTTGGCCATTTTTGGTTGAGGCAGAGGGTTCCGTTTTGGGTTCTTCCTGTGGACTTTCACTGCCGCCAGACGTTCGTTCTCTCGGGAGCAGACAAAGCACTCAAACCCGTTCAGGTAGTTTGGTTTACTCATGTCATTGACACCCCACTCTCTGTTCTCCAGTCCCTCCAGCAGACGCAGGTTCGTGATCTTGCTGGGCGTTTTGTACTCCAGATAGCGTGAGTACTTCACGTCATCTTGATCCAGAGTCTTTATGAACTCCGCCAGATCCCGTGAAGAGTGAAACTCGTCAATGAGGATAGCGGGATGACTGTTTGGCAGCCAGTCGGCCACCGATGATGAGCCCCTGTAAATGGGCACACAGCCCTGGTGCATGGGCCGCCACAGCTTCTCCGTCATGTAGTCGGGACACAGGCCGTTCTCCAGGGCCAGGTGGAACTTATAATGGCCAACGAAACTCATGAAGCGTCTGTCTTCACCAGTGGCTGTGCTGGTGTCCTCCAGATAGTCAGGCAGAGGTTTGTTATTAAGGCACTTCCCATACGAGTCAATCTGAGGAGAAGACCAATTATGATAAAAATTTGGATTTTAAGACCTAAGTATACTTCGTTTTTTGCATGTGTGCACAGCTGAATATATGGCCCTTCAAAATAAACCATTGATAGCGTGCACAATCACAAGTGCTTGACATGCACGCTAGAAAGTTTCACCCTGGTCCAGTGTCAGTGCTATTTCATTTAAACTCATTTTTTCTCAAATTTACTCATTTAAACTGGTTTATTTCTCAATCCCTTCACACATGCACTATTCAACATGTCTATAGTTGTTGTGTCTCCAGTAGTTTCTTCTTGTTCCTTCTCTTCAGTTTCATTTTTGACTGTGAAACATCAGGCTGGGCCAGTGTTGCCACCTTGTGGACAAACTAATCAGTGCAAAAAAATTCAGTGTGTACATGAGAGCTGCATGCACTGTATGGAGTATCAGGCTACACAGATACTGTGCTGATGACACATTTGAGTTCCACGCACTGTATGTATATCCTAGCATATGTGGGTGGTGGCTAAGGCGTGCATAGAATATTCTGTAGTTTAAGACATTCTGGGTAGTTTCTAAGTTGTAAGGGTGGTTGCTGGGGCACTGCTATGGTGTTCTGATATTGTTACAAAAGGCTGGAATACACTAGATGACTTAAAATCTGAACAGATTTTAAAACATTAGGTATCATACATTTGCCGACTTTGAAAATGTTTGATTTACCAGGGCAAGTTAGAACTGAGAAAATGTAAATATGTACCTCAAATTAGGGCTCGACCGATATGTGTTTTTCAAGGCCGATGCCGATACCGATGATTACAGATCACGTAGACCGATAACCGATATTTTGAACCGATATATATGTCTGGTGTAAAAATGAAAATTAATGTCAAAATTAAGAATAACAAGGGTTCTGACAAAAACTGCCTTCCCTGGTGTTGGTTGAGTGTAGTACTCCCACAGTAAACTCTTTTATTTTTTGGCAAACTCTTTATTTAATGGGTTTACCATTATCATAAATTCATGTGGAGATGAATGTTTTAAATACAATTTTGAATACAGAAATATTAAATTATTGAAATAACGGCAATTATACCTAAAAATGAAACCGCCAGCAGGTGGCGGCAAATCACAGATTTTATCACTGAATCATTCATTCAATTGATTCGTTTGAACGGCTGATTCATTCAGGAACGAAGCAAGTGACTGTCTTTATGAATGAGTAGGTAATTTAATCATTGCCAACACCGCTGTGTTTGCTTTTAGAGATGTGAAGCGGCTGAGCTGTTACTATATTTGGAACTATTTTCGTTGATGAAATAGAGCAAAATCAGGCAGTACGTGTTTATTGAACTGTTGAATTAAATCAATATCACATTTGCAAACTCTTTGAATAATTATTAAAATCTGTCACTCTCCTTATCGCGATCTGTGGGCGCACGGAAAATGAGAGTTCTCAAGACTCAGAAGCACGTGCAAATGATAAATTCCGTCATCTGTCATCGGGTTATAAGCGCGGAACCTGCGGGAATGAGTAGAATTGTTATCAATAGCAATCCTGCGCCTGAAATTCAAGTCCTGCTCTGTGTTCTCTGCTAATAACCCGACTGTGAATGATGCGAGAGGCGTTATGTTGTCAGTGAGAAGCTGCAGCCGTGGCGGGGAGGATTTTTGGTGTGCTGGTGTTCTGACAAATAATGCTAATTTACCTATCAGATTATGCTACCAACAAAAAGTCAGAACACCGGCAGAACAACAACAATGTGCTACATGTTTCTTTTCCCCTCATTTTTTCCAATTGACAGAAATCTGTCGTAGCGTCAGAAAACTTTCATCCCTAAGTAGTATTATGTAGCCTATAGCATACTGCACCACAGTAATATATTTCTGATAATTTCTTTAAGTTAACCCGAACTTATATTTTGACGGGTTGCCATGAGGAACTTGTTTCTGTAGGTCTATGTAAATGATATGAAGATAGTTTTACTCCAATTAAACTGTCAAATGCTCATGAAGTGACTCTCAGAGGGAGTCTGAGCAGTTCTGGGGATGTTGTTCATGTATTTTGTCCTCATGTAGTGATAAGACAGAAGCTGAAATCACCGCGAGCGTCGCACACTTTGTATGCAGTAGTCGTGCTGATCTGGCGGCTCTATCGGTCCCGCGCAGATCTTGCAAATTGTTGCCATAGTGAATTCAACAGGTGAAGTAGAAGATTCTGACGTAATTGTTGCGTGCACCGCATTTTATACTGCCGCTCGAGCTCGTCAGTATTTGCATGCGATTTGCATACTTCGCGTCAATTGGCCAGTCATTTGGACTGGCGGGGGAAAGGTTGGAAGGGAAGGAGTTCCCATAACGGAGAAATATCTCCGTGATGTCTCGTGAAAGCTCGAGAGGGAACTGTAGTTTTTTTACGTAGTTTTCCTTGTAGTATAATGTGCCACGCCCGCTGATTTCCACAGCCAGTAATATTGAACTGCTCTCACCCAATCAATGATGAACAGAACCAGACCAGACTAATTTACCACAGATCGTTTTAGCGGAACAAGTGCCTGTGAACTGATAGGAAATATTTATGTACAAAGTAACTTTTTGTATATTTTCATCTCTACTAACAATGAACATAGGCCGATTCCACGTCTTTAGCATACTTTTTGCCAACAAACAATGAAACAGTATGATAAAAAACAATATGATTTTCCTTTATAGATTACATTATGTGAGCGAGCTAAGTGATTGTCCGCGCTGCTGTCGCCGCAGTCCTGACATAAACGAGCATCTGCATGCTGCTGAAGTTATAAAAAGACACCGTTTTAAATGTATTGTAATATTTTTACTGAAGCTTCTCCAATATGCTATCCAATAACTGCGCTCAGACCCAGAGGATATGACTTGTTTAAGATGATCAGATCAAACCAGTTATTTTTTAATAATACCGAATCTGGGCTTGGAATATTTCTTTATTTGAGTGACTCAAGTTTGATTTAACAACAAATCTAAATACGAACAAAAAGAAATAAAGAGAAATGACAAACAGTTTGATTTTATCATCATCATCATCATCATCATCACTAGATTTTATTATTTCGTTCTGTCTGAAGAACGGAAAAACGAAAATTAAGCTAGATTTTTCGTATTTTTTGTTCGTGGATAAAAAATGAGCTTATGCATTTGTGCGTGAGCTGAAACGCCACTTTTCAACTCAGCGTGTCTTTACCGTCTGTCCCATCAAGCATGTACATAAATATTTCCTATCAGTTCACAGGCACTTCTTCCGCTAAAACGATCATTGATTGGGTGAGAGCAGTTCAATATTACTGGCTGTGGAAATTAGCGGGCGTGGCTCATTATACTACAAGGAAAACTACGTAAATAACGCGTACTTTTGTGCAATCAGAACGGCGTTTTTTACGGCGTCCTGTGGCAAGCCGACGGCGTTAAAAGCGACGCTTTTTACAAATACTAAAACGCCATTAAATACGGTGTTTTTTACGGTTTACGTGCGTTTTTTATGGCGTCTGCTATCAGGACGGCGTATTTGACGGCGCTAATATTGTTTAAAACGCCATCAAATACTGCGTTTTGTATGTAAACGCGATTTATCTATAGCGTAAATGTGAACTTCTTGGCTTGCCATAGATTAACAATAAAATTCCTGCACTTGAAAAAACGCGCTCGGTTGGTTCGCAACCCGCCATAAAACCAAAAGAAGAAGAAGAAGAAGAAGAAGAAGAAGAAGAAGAAGAAGAAGAAGAAGAAGAAGAAGAAGAAGAAGAAGAAGAAGAAGAAGAAGAAGAAGAAGAAGAAGAAGAAGAAGAAGAAGAAGAAGAAGAAGAAGAAGAAGAAGAAGAAGAAGAAGAAGAAGAAGAAGAAGAAGAAGAAGAAGAAGAAGAAGAAGAAGAAGAAGAAGAAGAATAGATGGCACGGACGGGATCGCAGCGTCGGCGGGTTGTAGTGAATGACGTGATTTACATTTGCTGGCTTTGGCCAGCCTCTAAGCTAACGCCTACGTGCCTGTATTGAATATGATTACGCATCGCTCGACAGCACCTGAGTTAAATATATGAGTGTCACAGCAAAGGGTCTGAATACTTAGGACCATGTGATATTTCAGTTTTTCTTTTTTAATAAATCTGCAAAAATGTCAACAATTCTGTGTTTTTCTGTCAATATGGGGTGCTGTGTGTACATTAATGAGGAAAAAAAATTAACTTAAATGATTTTAGCAAATGGCTGCAATATAACAAAGAGTGAAAAATTTAAGGGGGTCTGAATGCTTTCCGTACCCACTGTATGCACAGAGCTGGGTAGATTACTCAGTCTGTTACTGATTACAGATTACATGATGAAAACTGTAATTAGTAAAGTAATCTAAGTTACTCCTTTTAGGTAATGTAATTAAACTACTTTTTAGATTACTTTTGGATTACTTTTTTTAAATCAAACTTGTTTTAAGCTTACATTAAAAGTATCATATTGATATAAAAAAAGACTAAAAATATTTTCAATTTTTTTATATCAACATCATAAAATGCATTAAACATTACATTACACTACGGTTTGCCAAACTGGGTTTAATGTAAGAACTGCAGTGGGTTTGTGAGTTAAAGGGTTAGTTCACCCAAAAATGATAATTAGCCCATAAATTACTCACCCTCAAGTCATCCTAGGTGTATATGACTTTCTTCTTAACTGTAATCAGATTAAGAGCATTTCAAAATGTAATATACTCTAATTACAAGTACTTAATTATAAAATATGTAAATCTAACTTAAATATGTAATCAGTTACTACCCAGCACTGTATATATAAAATTATTATAGTAATTTGCCCATCATATGCTGCATGATTTGCAACTCCGACTGCCTCAAATCTGCAGAGTGGCTCTGACTTTCGACCACTAGCAAACTGGCAAAAGTCACAGTGTATGCTATGGTATTCTTGGTTGCTAAAGCACCTGACCATTTAAATATATTTACAAATGTATGAAAATCTGACATTTCTTACAGTATTACCTCTATATACTTCATCAGCTCTTGAACGTAGCGATCGCGGTCTGAAGGCACATCACAGTGGGACTGTATGTAGAGCACAGGGGCCAGACCGGCCCGTCTCCAGCGGTTCTTCTCCTGCAGAGGGACTGCCGGTGCTTTCAGAAGATAATCCAGAGAGGGCAACCACTGCAGCGTTAGCGGATAGTCCGACTCCCTCCTGAACGTGGCTGTGTAGTTAAACAGCCTGATTCCAACACTGTGAGACAAAAGGTAGTTATTCATGGGCGACTCTTCGTGGAAAAGCGCCCAGGTTTGATGTGCCAAACGTGGCAGCGGAGCCTCATAGGCCCGGAAGTCTGTTCCGTAGAAAATAATGGACGCCGTGCGGCGATACAGCTGAACTTTACAGTTGCTTGTGACTAGGCAGGATGAGCGGGCGCAGTCCACACGCTCTGTGTCTCCTGGGAAGTGTGGGAAAAGATTGGAGCTCCACCACAGAAGGATGGGCAGCTTATTATTGGGGCGAGGGTCAGTGTTTCCAGGGCCACGGTACGAGCTCACACTGGCAAACTCCATGTCACTGAGGGCACTCTGGGGCTGGAAAACACCACTTTCCCCTGTGTCCACTGGCCCCTGTCCCCAGCAGCATACAGGGACCACCATAATAAGCCACAGGCAAAGCGCCATAGTCAACCTGAGAAAGACAAAGACACTGCACTGAAATTTTCTTGGTTAAAGAAAATTCAAGCATCTACATTGTACAGTGAATAGGCTATTATTAAGGGCAAAAAAAGGCCTCAGTGATAAGGTTTGCCTGATGTGAAAGCATGAAAAATGCTAAAAATAGTCCAGTGCTGCATCGCCAAGAAAATGTAAGCCTGGTTTATATTGAAAGTCCCCGCAAGAGCGCAAGGGAGCGAGCAGCAAAAAGGACGTCATCGCGGTGTGGGCGGTCGTGCACATTGAGTGCAAAAGACCTTGACTGCATCCGAAATATCATACTCACTGAATAAGTACTTCTTTTGAATAAGTAGTTACTTAGGGACTTTTAAAAAAGTATGTTCTATGTAGTATGAATGTGTGTAGCATGAATGCAATCCATACTACATTCGTCATGTTGTCAGTAGCCGGGCTTCCATTCAAAGCTGCGAATTTAACTTACGCGCAATATTGGAATATCGCATAAAACGTGTGAATAAAGCACCATTTCCATCCAACGAGTCAAAGAGAACAAAATCGTCACTTCCTGATAAACTGGCACTAAATACCACTAAACAGCACTTTCGGAGGTGGATGCTGCTGTTTGGGAGCGCAGTCATGTAAGACAGTTCTGGCACGCATTTATACAGAAATACTTTGACGGCAGACTTTGACTCAGGCATTTCAGACTGACCAAAACAACATTTCAGATGCTGTGCAACGAGATCGGTCGGCTTTCAGTCAGGACAGGTTGGAAACACTTCAGGAGTTTCGAAGTCGTCATCTGATTGATTGCTTGAATTATACAGGATTTCCGGGAGACGCGTAGAGATGCACCGATTGCAATTTTCTTGGCCGATTCCGATTTTTTGTAAATCAAAAGATACGCGCTGCATTTTATTAATTATCAGCTCATTTCAAGATCAAAGACTGCAATAGGAGAGCGCGTGGCATCAGCACTGGAAAGATAAGTTTGTCTGACTACTTGAAACCTGCGGGAATGATGTGCAATACAAGCATTTAACCGGAGCGAATGAGACGTGTGTGAGAGAGAAGGGGTCGTCGGAGAGAAGAGAGCGAGAATGCGCGGCTGACGTTATTGCCTGTGCTGCTGGTAACAAAACGGATCGGCTCGGAATCGGAAAGAAGTGAGACTGACCGGCCGATCACCGATCCGGGCCGATCATGAGGAAAACCGGCCGATTCCGATCCCTGGCCGATCGATCGGGTGCATCTCTAGAGAGGTGTTTATGTTGTTGTATATGGCATCATTGTAATCCTTGACTATAAAAACATAGGGGTAGACATCACCTTTTCTGTGTTACCATGTTGGTTCAGGAGATATAATACAAAATACATAATTTGGTAATGGCGGAAAGTAAAATGGCCGCCATGACGACCACGAGGCATTTTTTGCATGGCTCCATTTCTGAAAATGTTCAGGGCCCCAAACTGTACAAGTGTACCAAGTTTCATGCTTTTATGAAAAAGTGAACATTATTTTTCACATATAGGCTAACCTGGACTATAAAATAAGTCCAAGAGTTTAACACATGGTCTGTTATTGTGGGGACATTTCCACACCCCTAAACATGACGCGGCACAAAACAAAACGTGATTGGTTGATTTACCTATCAGTCATATGGCCTCCTTGGCCATTCAAAGTGGCCAGGGTCCCCAGACCTTCTGCCGTCAGTGTAAAGGTCTGGCTGTGTGAGACTACGTTATGCCGTCCCATAGCACCAAGTCACATCAGTTTGTTTGATGCACATGGAGGAATTTATTTGCAAAATACATTTCCATCTCCCATTAACTCTTTTTCCCACAAGTCAAAAACCACCTCAAGCGAGCATACTTTTTTTTTTTTTTTGAATTAAGGGATTTTTTTTTTTTTAATTGAGCATTTCCATCACTCGTTTCTGATGCGATACTTCAAAATGCGCATAAAAACAGGGTGATGGAAACATAGCTATTGTCACTGGTGTCAGTCGTATAAAATACATAGTATTTTATATGGCTATGGCGGACCAAACCTGCAGAAATTAAAAATAAATAAGTAAATATATAGATAAATAAATAAATGTAATAATAGGAAAATAAATAAAGAAATAAATGAGTTTATTTTTATTACCTTTTTCCTATATGTATTATTTTCCGTATTCATTTTTTACATTTATTTTTATTATTTTTTAATTTTATTTACTTATTCTTTCATCTATTTTTATATTTGTTTAATTTATTTATGTATTTATTTATTTTTAAATGCATTTATTCGTGTTTATTTTTTTATTTATTCTCACATGGATTTATTTCCAGATTTATTTATTTATTTATTTTTTTCTTTTTACTTTTCCATGTGCAACATGAGGGAGACGGTACGGAGCTCCAGTGAATCATTGGTTGAGAGCTCACACAGAAGCGTCAGATCAAACTAACGCTAGAGATCGGAGTTTGTGGGATCAACTGGAGAGTTCCAAGATATTTTCACATTATGATGTCTAATTATTTTATAGCGACTGAATTCAGCTACTCATCCTCACAGTTTCGTCATTAAGCCCAGAACCATGAACGTTGTTCCTAGTTTCTAGGTTGATGACGCCTTTAGACACACTCGGTGGAGGTTTCTAAGGCTTGTGTTCATTTTGTAAATTGTGTCTTTGCGAGTAGTCACCTAAACACAGCCAGTAATGCCTCAAGTGAATGTAACAGTGAAAATCAAATTGAGTCAGTAATATATTGGATCGGTGCATGAGGTCTTAAAGGGACATCAGCCTAATATACCTGCTGCTGTTTGTGTCATTAATGTTAATCAAACAACACAAGAGAAAGAGAAAATCACTGACTGTTCTTGACTGAATCACTTTAGTAGCGTTAATAAAGATGAATGCATATTTAATTTATACTAACTACTATTATACCTGCCTGAAAAACCTAAAGCACTGTTTATTTAATTTGTATAATTTTTTTGTTCTATTGAATTTATTTGTGCTATTGCTTGTAATTTCTTTATTTGTTCTTATTTTATTATTGACTGTTAACTTTTCTTTAATAATGTTTATATTTTATTAGTTAGGCTAGCGGTCAGTGTTGCCAAGTCTGTGGGTTTCCCGCGGAATTGGGCCACTTTTATACTGCTGCTGCGGCCTGTTATTTTTTTAGTCCACAGGTTGAAGCACACCAAGGTGTGACCTCCTGGAATGCAATTTTGATAGCCATCTTCCCCTGAAATGCTTTGGTATTGAAGATGGCTTGAGAATTGTGAAATTTCACTGGTATCAAAATGTTGCTGTCTTAACAATATTATAGGGTTATATGGCATGGGTCAAAAACAATGTAAATAATACAATAATTTTTTAATTAATTAAAAAAAATTTTGATTCATTTTTTTTTTTTTTTTTGGCAGGGTCATTAAAAATTTTGGCAGGGGAAGTAATAATCTGAATCTCTATCCCAACCAGGCAGGTAGAAAAAAATCCTTAGTGTTGAGCCCTGTAAAATATTTAGAACATTTAGGTACATGTACAGTAACACATATGGCGTAAACCAATAGAAATGGCTGTATTTCAAAACATAATGAGCTTTCAAGCCAGCCTTTTGGGCATTGTGGTGTCGAAACTGACTAAGGTGCCTAATTTAGACATCATTTTTGGTCATCATAATGGTAAGACGTAGTCAGCAGCCTACTTAAAGCGCATTTTGGGCAACAAATTCGCCTATTATAACCAGAAATGCACTCTGGGTATACAGCACACTATGTTTTAAGCGCAGCCAAAGAAGAAAATAAAAACACATTTCCGACAAAGCACAAACCCAGACGCTTATTTGACCTGACAGCATACTTTCTTACTTCAGTTCAGGACAGACGCATGCTGTATGTCTGCATTCCCCCAGTTTTTCCTCTGCTCGCGGTACAATATGAGGTAATTCAGAGAGTATTTTTGCACGATTGAAGTCATTTAAGACCAGAGTGAATTTTTTTTGTCCTGTATGTATGTTCACGTATGCGTAACAGTGCTGCACTTTATTTAATAAAGCATCTGAAACTGTGGTAGTCATATAGCTAGATGGAGCTAACAGGGCTGAGAGTATGTATAAGGTTAATGACACCAAACACGAACATAAAAATACCAGCCATGTTTATTAGTTATAGCACGAGCTGAGATCGAGCAGCAATTGCGAGAGTAATAAAAATAAACCGTAGCTTTAGCACTCGTATGCTAAAAACACAGCTGTCATGCACGCTTGCGCATGCGCAGAGAACGATCATCGGTTTCCTCTATTTGTATTTAAATAAATACGCAAGTAAACACTTTATTAAGATATTAAATAACGCCGAATAATGCATTGTATTCTGCCAGTATCGTTTCGGACTTTGTATAAGTGCTGCCTGTGAAAATTAGTCTGTCTGTTTTCTTTAACAAAAATTCACCATAGCAACCTACTTGCTACAGTAAAACATTTGGTATTAGCCACAAATATCATCAAAAAAGATACAGAAATGACAGTCTGAAAGAATACCCTGTTTGAAGGAAATCCCATTAGATAACTACAGTGATGAAGGTTTGTGTTTTATAATCATTGTAACATTTGTAAGAAATAATTGTTACTCCAATATATTATAATTATGTGCATTAAGGTGTGGTCACGAGCAAAAATTCATCAAAAGTTTGCGGGCAAAAAAAGGTCTCTTGTCCATTGTCAGCGTAGCACTGCGAAATCTCTGTGGGAACCTTAGTTTTCACGCAAAACTCCCAGTTGCACGGATTGCTATTGAAATGACTGGATTTTGCTTTCAAAATGTTGCACCTTTAGGGTAATACAAGACATACTTTTGGAATTTAATCACAGTAACCAAGCTAGAGTGTTGTTGCTTGTGGTGGAGCAGGAAATGATCACATTAGACCATGTTTGTCGCACACTGATTTTCATCTTAGCACAAGCTTAAACGTTGAAATTAAAGAGCAAAGCAGATGGCAGTCCTGTGTTTAACCAATCCGTGTGCTCTCAGAGAAGGTGTTGTCCCGGCCAAAGTCTCAGAAGAGCATCTGACCCATAAACAACCATTATCTATCTGCCATACACGGTTTAGCCCTTTCATAGTTCATCAGCTGTCGATTGAACGTCTGTTTATTTAACCTGTAAAGTCACTGTGGGTGTATTTGTGCTCGTCAGGCTACAGTGAAGGCGTGTGGCACCGGGGGCCGTTATGAGTGGGAAGAGCCTCTTGTTGAAGGTCATTCTCCTGGGGGACGGCGGCGTGGGCAAAAGCTCCCTCATGAACCGCTACGTGACCGACCGCTTCGACTCGCAGTCCTTCCACACCATCGGTGTGGAGTTCCTCAACCGCGACCTGGAGATCGACGGTCGGCTGGTCACCCTGCAGATCTGGGACACGGCGGGCCAAGAGCGCTTCAAGAGCCTGCGCACGCCCTTCTACCGCGGGGCGGACTGCTGCCTGCTCACCTTCGCTGTGGACGACCTGCAGAGCTTCCAGAACCTGGGCTGCTGGAAGACCCCATCGACCACACCCTGCTGAGCAGCTCCATTGATCTCCACGGAAATCGTAAAGTGGCTCGCTCGTCCTGCTGTTGAGGTGCCTTGTGGCTTCATAGCTGTGGACCTACTCTCTCTTGCTGATACGCTTGAGAGCTTTCTGTGTAGGTACAATGTAACAGAGTTACCAAACAGTAAAGGCATTTCACACATATCTGGCACACATAACATATTCCATGACGGTTTCCCAGTCGAAGGCTTGTCTGCTCGTGGCGTGGTGTTTAATGATAGCTTCATGTCCTGGACCGCAGATCTAGCCTCCCTTCTGCCAGTTTCTAAATGGACCATCTTATGACTAATGAGCTATTATGCTGTGGTACTCATTTTTTTTCAGATATTTCAAAATACAGAGTCCGATATTACAGACCTTTTTTATTGGTAATATAATATTGTTTGAAAGAAATAATGCAATTTTAATTTATTTTGCTAATAAGTTATTCTTTGGGTGAAGTCTGTCAAGAACATGTTCTCAGGTCATATTTCACCTCAAATTCAAAATAAAAAAAATAATATAAAAAAAAAAAAGAAGATTAAATAAAGAAAACGCAGCTTATTTTTGACCGTGACATTATTTTAATGATAATTTAAACACAAATTGCTATTACCATAACGTGAGAAAAACTCATGATCGTTATTGTAATATTAAAACAACTAAAAAACGTCATTCTCCTTTATTTAAACTGTAAATGATTTATCTGTCATTTTAGCATTTGTTGTATTAGCTTCAATTTATGCTGGTTTTAATAATTAGTCAAAATAATTGTGTCCACACATGATGAAGCAGTTATATGATGAGAAGCCTTCACACTCTTCATGCATGAATTTTTTTATTTTATTGGTTTGTTTATTTTGGGTTGAAATATGACCGTGTCTTCACTAGATTCACCGTGTTATGGTACATGTAGTAAAACGCATAACCTCAGATTAGTGTATATAGCCAACAAATAGCCTGAGATGAGTACAGCACTATTTTTAGACAGAAAGGGAATTTCTTCTATTGTAGTATTGTAAGATTAAGATTTTTTTTCCATTACAAGTAGTTCTTTTTTTGTACTGTAAGGTACAGGGAGTTTGTGTTAGATGTTACACATGTATTGTTTTATTTTTTGAATGATTTTGTTTCAGTTGTGTGTATATTTGAGTGATTTTACATGTCTGATTGCATGCTGAATCTGGGTAGTGTTTAATGAAGCGAGAAAGTCTCTTGCATGAGGAGTGTGTGTGTTGGTCAGTGTGTGGGTTTAGACCACATCGGTCTCAGTAAATGACTCAGGAATGTGGCTTAGACAAAGGTACAGATTATTTTCTGAAAGCATGCAAGAACATTCCTGTCTACATTTAATGCTGGAGCTTGTTTGGACGTCCACAGCAGACTTGAAGAGACTCACAGCTGATAAATGACTTCACGTTAGTCATGTTGATATGAAACTAAAGCACACGGTACCCAGTTATCTTGCACTGACCTTTGACCGTGTTTAGAGGGCACTTGTGAAAGACCCTTGATTTAGTGCATTTATAGGTACTTTAACTTATTTTACTTAGGCCTATATCTTTTATAATATTGACTTATTTCCTAGTGCTTTCCCTACAATATGAATGTTCTCGTTGCCTCTGCTATACATACTGCTGTAAGTCTCATTACAACTAGAGAGACCCAAATCTGTGGATTGGGCAGCTGATGTTCTGAAACGCTTAATGCGTAACCTTTGCTTGCCTGCTGTCATACGTTTGTTATACATGTAAAACATTGCATGTTGTTACTTTGTTTTTGTTGATGGACATGCTGGCATATCTGCTGCATGGTGAAATAGATGCACCACTGTGTTTCTCGTACTCAAACTGCTAAACACGCAGGATCGTATTAATTGCTAATACTGGAACATCAGTATTTGTCTATTTACTGATAGTGTTTTCCTGCAAATAAAGGTACCAAACATTGGGTTTTACAGTGAAGAAATGTTACACTATAATCAGATCTGTATTACATGATGGAAAGATTCTCTGTAAAATCATAACAGGACGCAGAAGTGCAGTCTAGCACGTTACAAAAATATTTGATTAATCTGTCAAAAATGTCAACTTGATAACCAAACTAAAGCTTTACAATAAGCAGGTGAATGTCACGAAGAAATGTCCAGGTCATATTTCATCTCAAGATCAAAAGAAGTTGTATTTTATGTAAAGAAAATGAACCCTATATTTAGGATGCTTAATGTTTTTTGCATTGTGATTGTTTTTATGACAAATAAGCAAATTTCCCCTCATAATTCCCATTACCCTCGTACAGTAATGAGAATCTAGACACAAAGTTTATATGTACATACATACACATATATATAAAATCAGCATACATTCAGTACAAATGGAAGATATATATATATATATAATTTTTTTTGTTCTTTTTCATTCATGGAAATTTAACCTGGATGTTTTTCGTGAGAATCACTCAAGCTGTTTCCGCTCGAGCTGGTGTAGCATTCCTGCCACAGTATTGCATTATGTTACAGTTCACAGGAGTATTGTATTTCATTAATAATATCATATTTTATTTACCAGTCACAACCACGGTAGAGAATTGTGGGGGATGTAATGTGCTTAATTAAGGGCATTACTGCAATGAATGTACTAACTATTTGTCACTCTTTTTTTGATTTGTGCAAGGTTGGTGCCCCAGTGTTCAATGCCGTATTGTACTGGCTAAGACTGTATTTACTGACATGCTAACAGACTAAATGTGTGGTGTTTTGAAAGCAGGAGTTGTATTACCCTACTGTTTCACGTCATCTCCAGTGCAATAAGGAGGCCAAGACTTCTTTTATTTGCAAATTTACTTTGCAAGAATCCAGCGTGATGAATAAACAAACTGCAACAGCAATCATATTGTGTGGTTTATATATACCGTCATAGTTTTCAACATGTTAAACAAAATGCTCTTTCCTGTTTATCCTGGTAACATAATCTTCTTAACTGAAATATAGTGTTTATTTTATAACATCAAATCAATGTTTTTGGTATTCTCAGGAATAATACAATAACCAGACCTCTTGTAGTCAGCAGAAAGCGTGCACACGTCACACAAGTCACACGTCAGCTGCGTGAAGCACATAAGGAGAACAGAGACTTCCTCTGTGTTCATTTAACACTCGGCCAAAGAGCGTGTGCAGCCTCCTCTCCTCCTTCTCTCTGCGGTGACGCTCTTTTAAAACAAGCTGACATGCTGCTAGATGCAGTGGACAGTGAATCTATGAATAACAAAACACATGAATCATTTGTGAAAGGCACTGACCTTTATTTTCTGCTAAACCTCCCAGCCATCAGTTTTTACAGACCAACAAACTGCAGCCAAGCAGCAGGTTCAAATAAGAAACCGGAGCTGAAATAAGCGTCGAGTCTGTACAAAAAATAATCTAAGAAATACTGTTAGTGCTAATAATAAACCAATGGAATAAGCCCTTTGATGAATAAAAAAAAGGACTAATTAATTGGCAATTTAGCAAAAGAAAGCGTTATACAATAACTACAATAATCTCCTGATAATTAGAGTTACAAAACAACATTAACAGTTCACACGTCGATGAAAATTCAGTTATTTGTCGCAGTCACGTTGTTCCAAAACTGTATGACTTGAATTCAGCCGTGTAACAAAAAAGGAGATATTTTGAAAAATGTTCATGCTGCTCTTTTTATACAGTGATAGAAAATGCTCTAAGAACAGAAAAGCACCATGAAAATGCGTGGTCCATATGACTTGTGCACCACATTTAGAGCTTTCTATGACGCATTACAACAGGTTTAATATCAACGACGCCAAACTCAGTCAAATTTGATTATGAGGAAGCACAAATGACATTTTAAAAGAGCATGTTTTTCAAGGGACAACAACAATTTCAGTTGTCTGACTTCAGAAGCCTTGTGATGTAGTGCACTAGTCATGCATACGGGTTTGGAACGACATAAGGGTGAGTAAGCGACGACAGTTTTCATTTGTGAACTGTTTAGGTGAACTACTGCTTTAAATCTACACTAAAATCATGCTTTCATCAAACGCTACGGGGTGATCAAGCATCCAACATGTATTATAAAAAATGTTCAGGATGAAATACATTAAAACATCCTGAATGAGTTACTTGTATCTACAGAAAACAAACAAAATTAAGCTACGGCTGATAAGGCTGCTTTTTTCCATTTTTGTTTTCTTCCTAAGTGTCTTTCGCTCTCAATTTTCAGTGAAATATCCCAGCCACGAAACACTATTAGTAACGACACGCTCTGCAGTAAAATATCTGCTCAGCCGCATCTGTGCACCGGTCACAGAAAGGCTTTTATTCAAGCAGCTGAAAAGTCCCAGAAGCCTCTTTGTCAGTGGGCGATATCTTCTGACGCGTAAACTAACCCCTAGCATGGGTTTGTGCCGGGGCTTTCCTCTAAACAAAGAGGGGCTGATCCATTGTTTAGGCTTTTCTCAGTCCTTTCAAGCGGCTGTGAGAAAAAAAAGTGCTGGGGTCACAAGAAAACAGCATGCATTGCTGTCTCTCTCCATGGCAACCAGATGTGAGGGATGGTCACCATGGAAACCAGCTATCACCGCCATGAGATTGAAACTCAAGCATCTAAAATCTTATTGCTACCCGATTATTATTTTTACTTTTATTTCCCAAAGCAATTATAGATTTTGTCCAATCAAGTAATTTCAACTATGGAAAAAACTGCAGACTGTCTCAAATGGACTCGTATATTAGCTGTAAACAAAAATATTTGATAGTAGGTACAGAAAGTAAAACTCAAACTATACTTTCAGATCTCAAAAACAAACTTGACCTAAAAAGGGTAAAAAAATAAAATAAAATGTATGATATGAAAGCACAAGAACCCAACCTCAATATTGTAGCTAATACGAAAAGGGATTCTCTTCGAGTCAACTAAAGAATAATGGCAGCAGAAGCGTGCGATTGGTCATGATTTGAGTTTTCATTGTGAATGTTGACTGTACAGTTTGTGTACTGCTGAAGAATAACAGGCCATTTAAGTTGCCTAAAAAACATGACTCGTTTAGCTTGAAGGCAGAATATCTCCTCTAGTGGTCGGGAGCAGTATACAGGTAGAAAAGGCAAATTTCATGTTTGTAAATCTTTACACCAAAAAAAAAAAAAAAAAAAAAAAAAATCTACAAGAGAGTCAGGAAATTGTGTTGTGTTGTGGAAAAGAAGATGAGAAATTCTAAAGTGCTCCAATATGGTGCTGTTATTGACCGTAGAAGGACACCAGGACAGAACAGACGCTAACAGCGTGGACTGATGCCTTTCCTCCCCAGATACCGCAGAACTGCAAAGTTATAGGTGGTGGACACAGTAAATGTGAGCTGAAGAGAGAAAAACAGAAGCAACAGATAATGAATATGAATATGACCCAGTGAGTAGAGACTGATCAGAAAACTGTGGTGTTTCCAGAGAAAACCCAACCCACAAGGGTGTTCGCCAAGGTGTTACTATGCTTTTACTGGTGTTCTACGTGTTTTTAAATCATATTACAATGTGGCTACTAGGGTGTTGCTAAGTGGCTGCTAAGATGTTATGAGTGGTTTTTAACACATTGCTATGCACTTATTACAGTGTTCTGAGTGGTTGGCAGGGTGTTGCAATGTGGTCACTAAGGTTTACTAGGTTTTTGCTAGGATATTTTGAGCGTTATCACTTTGCATGTGATCACAAGGGTGTTCTGTGTTGCTAGGATCTTTTGCGCTGTTGTTAGGGAGTTGCTATGAGGTTGTGGGAGTTTAGCTTAATTTAATGAAAATTGCTTAAAGGAACACTCCAATATTTTTGAAAATAGGCTCATTTTCCGACTCCCCTAGAGTTAAACAGTTGAGTTTTACCGTTTTTGAATCCATTCAGCCGATCTCCGGGTCTGGCGGTAGCACTTTTAGCTTAGCTTAGCATAGATCATTGAATCTGATTAGACCGTTAGCATCTCACTCAAAAATGACCAAAGAGTTTCTATATTTTTCCTATTTAAAACTTGACTCTTCTGTAGTTACATTGTGTACTAAGACCGACGGAAAATGAAAAGTTGTGATTTTCTAGGCCGATATGGCTAGGAACTATACTCTCATTCCGGCGTAATAATCAAGGAGCTTTGCTGCCGTACCATGGGTGCAGCAGGCGCAATGATATTACGCAGCGCCTGAAAATAGGCTAACTTCCGTCAACATAACCAACGTGACCACCTGCTTGCACAGGGAGTGTGCTGAAACTATTTTCAGGCGCTGCTTAATAGGGTTGTCAAAATGGCTGAAAAACTACATTCGAATTTTGTACTTAAATATTATCAAAATTCGAATTATATTCGAATTTATAA